TTTCTCAGGTACAGCTTTTGCTGCAGCCCAATAGTTTTGATAGTAGTATCTTAGTTTTAATCATTTCTAGGTATTTTAATTTCCAATATGACTTCTTCTTTAACTGTGGTTTATTAGAATAGTGGTTTTCAATCTTTTAATATGTGTGACTATGTCACTGATGCTTTTGTTAAGAACTTCTGTGCTGGGTCAGAGAATGTTGTCAGCGTGGTAAATGTGCCAGTTTGAAAATGATAACAAAATCCTTGCTCACTGTTGCCTTGAAAAAAAAGAAAATAATAACAATCTGTACATTTAGAACAAAATGAAAGTACTGGGCTCTCTGGTTCAAGGGCTCCCTGGTGGCTGTGTGTTTGACTGATTTTGCAGCATTAACAAGAAGGGCTGTGCACCGTGGGGAGACCATTCAGGTCTAAACCTGACGTTTACTGACGTCACTAAACCCAAAGTCAGAAACGGAACACAATCGCACACACCTGTCCATCTAAGGAAAGCACCTGATGAATTGCTCAGGCATGGGGAGTGAGGAGCCAGAGTGTGAGGCCCCCACTGCTGACCCAGCTCTCTCTGCACCCTCATGCCTCTCTGGGGTGCCGCTGTCGTTCCTCCTGGAAGCCCTGTCAGCAGCAGAGAGGGGTCTCGCTGGGGACACCCAGACACCAGTCCCCAGATTAAGACAGGGCAAGGAGACGACCTGTTCCCAGGGAGAGCTGTGCATGGAGCCCCCAAGGCAGGGCCAGGAACTGGAGCATGAAAGAAGCCAAGGCACCAAAACTATGAACAGTCAAAAGGGCTAAAGCTCCACGGCCCTAAGAATTGACGCTCAAACTAGGGTTCCACATGGCAAGGGGAGGAGAAAGGCAAGCAAGTTACGACCTGGGCAGAGCCACAAGGGGCAACAAGAAACCTGCCAGGCCCCACACGTGTGCCCGGGGGCAAATGGTTAGGATCTGAGCTTCCCAACAGCCAAGGTGAAAAGGAAAAAGAGTCAGAGGTATAAGTGTAGCGGGAGCACAGTTATCTTCAGTTCAACAATTCAGCCTAGCATTCCATAGCAAGAGTGCAGGGACGGAGACTGTGGGACTCATTCAGGACACCACTCGGGGAGGCCTCTGGACATCGCGCCAAGATTCCCTCACTGGAAAAATTCCACCGTGTGTTTCTGTCCGTGCCTATGCCGGGGTTGGCGCACATACCCACACAGCAGCTTCCTGGCACCCAGCTCTCGGACAGTGAATACAATAAGGGCAGGAAGGAAGGTCATCCACTTCATCTAAACAGGAAGCTCTCACATTTTCCTGGTTGAGATCTACACTTTAAAAAGTTAAATAAATATATACACACCCAAAACACTGACACAGAAAACATTCACAGAACTTATTCACATACATTTATAACTGATCAACATATTTATAACAAAACATAAATATAAAATATGAAATAAAATATTAAACACTTACAATATATATTTGTATATCTAAAACATTATATACACATATATACACAAGCAAAAATATATAAACATAAATAAAACACTTTTTTATTTAATTACTTTCTTCATTAAAATATATGTGTCCTAATTGTGCATAATGTACCCTGATCTTTGTTATTCAGTTCAGTTCTATTCTTTCATCTTCTAGAACATACAAACATGGTTCCTATTCGCCAACTGGGTTTTATGACCCCAGCTTCTTGGACAGTGCTGCTCCCGGCACCACTCAGAAGCAGAGCGCAGGCCGAGGCTCCATGCCACTGCGCCGGGCTTGAATTCAGCCCTCTACCTATTACCTGGGTGATCCTGAATCAGGGCACCAACCATCCGGGTTTGCCCAGCACTGAGGGCTTCCCAGGTCGCAGGACTTTGGTGCTAAAATTGGGACATTGGTCCCCCATCAGGAAGCCATCTCCTCAGGTCTCTGTTCCATTTTCTTATTTTTAGAATTGGACTCATTATGGTACCCACCTCCTAGGATTGAAGTCAGGCCAGAAATGAAGAATATTGATAGAATAAACACTCAGCAAATGTCACTGGGGCCTGTGGGCTGTGCTCCTACAGGCCTCTTTGCTGCCAGAGGGACACTGGCTCACACACCTGGACAGGTGTTGGAGTCTGGGGCCAGGGGACGGGGGCTCCTGACAGAGACCACCAGGAACAAGCAAGCCCTTAACGAGGTGGCCCTGCCTCTCCAGGGCAACTGCGGGACCAAGTCAGGGAACCGTGGAGGCAAAGACCCCAGAGCCGTGCCCCTCCCTCACAGCCACATCTTTGCTCCGGGCTGTTTTGAAGCCTGTCCACGAACTATGCTCATTCCAGGGGTGCCCCAGGAACAGCAACAGGCTGTGCCTTCCGGGGAGCTGGAGTGATCCATGATGGGGACAACTGCATGACCCAGCAAAGTATCCTGGGAACACCAGGCCTGCACCCGCCGCCCTGCTGACCACAGGCTGACTGACCCTTTCCCGTCCCTGGCTACTCCCCGCCACCTCCAGGGGCTGCTGTGTCTGGGAGTTAATTCACCAAGGAGAGAAGAAATGAGGCCAGGAGCACAGCTGGATGCAGTACCGAGGAACCTGGTCAGCCCTGAGGAGGGCCAGTGCCTTCTCGTGGGCACTAAAAGCTGTGTGGCTCTGAGCACGGCCCTCTTGGCCGTGGCTGCTCCAACATCCCACCGCCAGCCGCAGGCTCAGATGAGTCTCTGTAGACCCCTCAGCCACTTCCTTTGAGAACTGTGTGTTCCTTCCAGCCTCTGACCTCCAACTGCCACCTGGACTCCTTTATTGCACATGCCTCCAATGCCACTGTTCTTTTGATTGTTCTTTTTGATTTTTGACTTTGCAGATTTCACAGTGCCAGATTCATTCAAATCAATCACAGTGTGAATGGCAAATGAAAAAATGCACATGATAAACAAAGGGCATACGGCCCCTCCCCTCCAAACGACTTCCATCCTGTGCCCTCTAAACCCACCCCAAAACAGCCCCGACCCACACACAGGCTGGGTGGCAGAAAGGGCTGGAGCATCAGAGGACAAAGGGAGCAGAGGACGCTGAGCCTGGTCAGGCAGGGGTCAGAGGGCAGGGCCCATCTGGGGCATCCCTAGAGCATGCACCAGGGGAAACAGGAACGGGACAGTCCTGCTGGGTGGGCCACTGCGTGGACGCAGGGGAAATGGCGCCACCTGCCTGCACACTCACTCTTGGGAAGGGTCGGCACCTTCTCTCCCAGCAGCTGTCACCCGAAGCCACAGCAGGGGAGGGGCTTGCTGGGCTGCAGTGCAGGAGAGGATGCCAGGCCCCTGGAGGTGGTGGGCAGCAGTCACGCTGGGGCTAGGGGCAGCCCTTCCCAACCACCTTATGGGTAGCAGTTACCCCTTTCTTCTTTCTGCCACTTACCTCCTGCAAGACCCCTTAGGGCAGGTGACTGGGCCGGTTCACTGCTGCAGACCCAGGGTCCCGCCCTGCCTTGTCATCACACATGCTCAAAAGGATGTGATTCAGGAAATGAAGGCAGGAAGGAGAAAAGAGTGAACCTGACACAGAGTGAAAACTGTGTGACCACCCGGGCTGGAGGGGAGAGCCTGGGGCTACCCCTTAGTGAGACAGCTTCGGGACACCGAGGTCCCAGGGAGGGGCTCCGTGGAGGAAAGTGGGTCGGTGGTCCTCCAGACTGAGGACAGTATTTCCTGACGTCGCTTGGGTCCAGCAGGGTCCTGTGCCCCCTGGTGAGGTGGGGGAGGGTGTGACAGTGCCTCTGGAGGGGAAAGCTGGGTGCCCACCAACAGGGATGTCCACGCTGTTGGGTTCCAGTGGCCCAGTGAGAACATGGGTCAACTCCCTTGGCTCCCGGGAATAAAAAAACAAACAACAACAACAACAGAATAAACGACAGGACAAAGGGAAGACTCCGTGTAGGAGGCAGATGAGTTTAGTGGGGAGGGGGCAGGTCTGCGCTGTGACGGGGGCAGCCTAACACTCTGCATCCAGGACCTACATGGGGCCAGGCAGATGCTGCAAAAGAAATTGGAACCACAGCCTCCGAGGGGCCCAGGGACGCTTAAGCACCCGGACAGACCCGGCTGGGCCCCAGCCTCACCTGTGAGAGGTGGAAGTGTGGGAGGACACAGCTGGGAGGCAGCCTGCGCAGGAGCCGTTCTTCCAGGGCACCAGTCTTCAAAGGCCGGGACTCAGCCCCCTGCAGGTCCCAGAAACTTAGCAAGGGTTCTGGAGCAGCAGCCTCCAACCGCTGCGGCAGCTCCAGGCTCCTGTAAGGCTAAGCCCTGCTTCTCTCTGAGCCACGGAACGCGCCCGAGGGGCCCCTGGAGGCGTCTGCTCTTCTCCTCCCTTCTCCCCTCCTCCCAGGCCACCTCTGCCAGGGGAAAGCCTCCAAGCACTCTAGAAAGAAGGAAGATTCTGTGCCTGTGGCCTAACCATCCCCGCCGACCTCATTTGCCCTGAACTATGCTCCTTCCTGGATCTGCCTGGCCGGCTCCGGGCCGCCCTGCCCTGGCCGCCTCCCGTTCCGTCTCAGGTTGTCCAAACCTCACCTGCGCCCCAGGGTCCCTACTCCGCCTCCTCCCTCTTCCTCCTCCTCCGCCTTGAAGCCTCCTCCCTCCCCCGTCCGCGGCCAAATCCAGACCACTCCCGCCCCACCCCAGGGAAAGGGTCGTCCCGCCCTCCGCGCCCTCTGGGTCTCCCTCAGCCTCCGTGGGTCCCCGAGTCAGGAACCAAACCTGGCCCGACGTTCCCTACAGCGTGGAGCCCAGGGTCTGTGATTGGGGTTGAGGCTGGCCTTGGGGGGACCTGCAGGCGTCCCCCTCCTCCGGGTCTCGGGCTTTTTTCCGCAGGAGGCGGCTGCAGGCAGACGCTGAGGCCCTGGGAACCCCGGAGCCGCCCCAGTGCAAGAGACCAGGGGAGGGGCTGGCCGGTCCAACCCCTCGGTCCCAGGGCTGACTCCTCCTCCAGGGCGCAGATCCCCGCAGCCCGGCAGGAGAGAAGGTGCCTGGAGAGGGGTCCGGACTGTGGGCCGGGGGCTGGGATGAGGGTCGGGTGAGAATGGGGCTCCGAGGAGTTTAGAAAGAGAGATTGGAAGGGGACCAAAGGCAGAGGGCCCAGGGAGAGGGGATGCGGGAAAGGGAGGAGAGCGAGCGCGGGAGCAGGAGGCTGGGGGTCGGGGACGCCCTCGGTGAAGCCCCGCCAAGGAATGCAGGAGGCTGGGGGTGGGGGGCGTTCTGGGTGAAGCCGCGTCCGGGAGCGCAGGAGGCTGGGGTGGGATGGGGGCTGCGCCCTGAGTGAAGCCCGGTTAGGGAGCAGGAAGCTGGGGAGGGGGCTCTCTGGGCGAAGTCCCCCGCAACACCCACCTCACCCCACTCAGGCTGAGCCCTCGGGCGTCATGGAGGGGCTCGTCCTAGCCCTGTGTGCCCTCCCGCTGGCTGCCGCGTCTGCTGTCTGTGCCACGATGCCGGGTAAGGAGCGGCCCTGACAGGGCTCGGGGCATCGGGGCTGGGGCTGGGGCTGCGGACCCTGGTCCACCGCGGCCCGCTTGCTGCCCACAGCTCGGAACCTGAGCTGCTACCAGTGCTTCAAGGTGAGCAGCTGGAGGCAGTGCCCGCCCACCGCGTGCAGCCCGCTGGACCAAGTCTGCATCTCCAACGAGGTGGTCGTCTCTTTTGGTGAGTCCCCCCTGGGGCAGAGGGCAGTTGCCGGGTGCCCCGCCTCTCAGCAACTCAGCTGATGCGTCCTCGGCGCTCCAGGGCCTGGGGCCGTGTGGGTCCCACAGTGCCTCCTGCTCTCTCTCCCGCGCTGGGTTTGGGAGAGCATCCCAGAGTGTGAATTTTGACTTTTCTTTTTCTCCTCCATTTGAAGTGTCTCTAGGAACTGTCAGCAGGACAAAGGCTCTAATGTCACTGAATTTACGAAGACAGCAGGAACACACAGGGGTGGGGAGAGGCAGCTGTTCGGGTGGATGGGTTATCCGCCCTTCCTAGCACAGCACAGTAGGCCTGCCCTACAGCCCAGCATGGGGCAGGCTGCACTGGAATCTAATACAGTGTATGACAGTGTCATAGAGTATAACACAACATAATGAATATAACGTGTATACTGCAACTTAATATAATACGATACAATACAACATAATATAATAAAATAGAATGCAACACAACACGCCATAACACACTATGACACATAAAGGAGATTCCACCCAAGCTCTTTTCTCCACCATTTGGATTTTGAGTGTTGTACATCCCCTCAGGGGTTCCGTGGTTGTTGACAGACACGTGTCCATCAGAAAGTCTCTGCCATGTCTTTAAGTGAGCAGCACAGAGCAACGAGCCCAGGGCTGGGCACCCAGCCCAGCAGGTTTTCTGTGATGGGCAGCCCCTTTCCACTGCTCTGAGTCACCGCTTCTCCCCACGACGCACGTGCCCCCGGGCTGGCAGGGGTGGTCCAGGTTGTGCCTGGCTTCCAGGGAAAGCCCCTTACAGCCAGTTGCCCTGGAGTCTGTATTTGCTGTGCTGCGGGGCGGAGGTGGCCTGGGCAGCCAGGGTCCCCAGCTCTGCAGCGCCTTGCCCAGGAAAGGACAGGAGACGGTGGTCTCTTGGTCCCCCTCATAGGGCCAGATTCCTTGCTCTAGTTCTTCTGGGTCCCGGCTGCCCCTTTGGAAAGCATCCTTGCATTTTCCTGATAACTGTGGATACTTCCTTGCTGGGGGCTCTGGGGCCACCTGCCTCTCCTCTTTTCTGCAGAATGGAGCGTACACACCCTGCTCAGCAAACGCTGTGCTCCCAGATGTCCCAACACCAACACGAAGTTCGAATGGACGCCAGCCCCCACGGTGCAAGGCGTGATAACTAGGCGCTGCTGTTCCGGGGCTCTCTGCAACAGGGCACCAACCCCACAGGAGGGGCGCTGGGCCCTGCAAGGGGGGCTCCTGCTCCAGGTGGGCCTCGGCCTCCTCAGGGCCCTGTTGTGAGGGCCCTCCCTCTACACCCCCTCCTGGCCCTGCTGGCCCGTCCTGTCTCCTGCCTCCCACTGCCATCCTGTGTCCGCCCCTTCCGGGACACTGGGGGGGACCCTCCCTCTCTGAGGTGGTGGGGAAGGTGCCATTGCCTCCACCCTGGATCTAGCCACCTCGCTTCTCCCCCACAGGGGCCCCTTTGCTGGGGAACCCTGTGGATTCAGCAACTGCTCCTCCTGGGGAAGGACGGTGCCTCCGGTGTGGGTGGTGGGAAGGATGGCGCCTCCGGTGTGGGTGGTGGGAAGGATGGCGCCTCTGGTGTTGGGTGATGGGGAAGGACGGCGCCTCTGGTGTTGGGTGATGGGGAAGGACGGCGCCTCTGGTGTTGGGTGATGGGGAAGGACGGTGTCTCTGGTGGGCGATGGCCCCTTGCATGAGGCCCCTTGCCCTGAATGCTGTCCAGGACCCCTCGAGGGGCAGGAGAGCCCGGGTGCAGCCACAGCTGGGGCTCCCCCTCTGCCTAAGGGAAACCCAGGAAGGATAACACTGTGGGTGCCCCCACCCGTACATTGGGACTACGACCTTCACCCTCTTGGAGACAATAAACTCTCATGCTCCATGGTGCTCATTCCTTCCTGCTCCTTCCCGTCCACCCACCCTGCCCAGTCCTCAGCAAAGGGCTCTGTGGGTTGGTACCGGCGGCCACTGGAGCAGCCAGATCTGCAAAAAACCTTCCAGCTGGGAGGTTGAGGATAGGGACTGTCCCTGCAGCCTAGGGCCCAGCAGTGGGTAAGCAGTATGTCACAGGCTCGGGGCTGGGATCCTAGAAGGGCTGGGGCCCCTGAGTGGAGGTGGGGATGAGCCTGGAGAAAGGGGTCTGTGGCATGTGACCAGGGTTGGGGTGCCCGTCTGAGCAGCCACAGTAGGATAACAGGAGGTCAGGACTGATGGACAGTGCCAGCAAGGGGAGGGTAGGAATGGGAGGGCTGCCAGGTGAGGCACGGGTAATGGGCAGGCTGGGGCAGAGGGGACCAATGCCGAGTTCAGGACTGGCCAGGCTAAGCAGGGCACCATGGGACATCCTGGAGCTGTCCTGGGGCAGGGGTGGCTGAGAAGGAGGCCTTCTGCATCGGAAAGGAGGTAGCCTCACCAGGTAGCAAAGCCCCAGATGAAGGACAATGCTGGGTCTGCCGCCTGCTGCCCGAGGGCAGGTCTTCACAGCACCCCTGCAGCCTGCACCCTGCGCCTGTGCACTGCACCCCCCGCTGTCCTCCAGCCAGTCAATGTTGCCCCTGTGGACCCAGGTGGCCATGGCAGCCCCCTCAGGTAGAGGTCCTGGATCCCCTGTCCTCGGCAGGCTGCAGGCTCTCCAGAGAAGGGTCCTCGGGTTCCCGGGCAGAGCAGGACCTGCTCCCCTCCTCTTGCGGTTATGAATTATCGGCTGAATTCCAACCCTGCCGGCTAGGGCAGATCCTCAGGGCAGGGCACCTGGTGCTCCTCGTAACGTTAGGAATCTGGCATCCGACACCTTGGGGCAGCCAGCAAGACCAGTGCTGGGAGATTCCCCAGGACCCTGGCCCGAAAGCTTCTGTTTTTCTGCACAGGAAGGTACTGGGAAGTGATCTGGCCGCAGTGAGAGTGGCGGTGCAGGTTTTCCCTGATGCATCTTCCTAGGAAATATGTGTGAATCTAATCTGGGCACCTGTGCTGGGGTCAGGGGCCTATGGCCCCCCTCCCCACAGCCACTGGACCAGCCACTCTTGTGCCTTTGAGAGCTGGGGGCTTTGGCCTCTCTGGACAGGAGGACGGGAACCACAATTCCTTCAGGGCGCCTGCTCAGCTGGAACTCAGAAACATTGCATAATACATTGATTTTTAAAAAATTATTATCTGAGACAAGGTCTTGCTCTGTTGCCCAGGTTGGAGTGCAGTGGCACAATCCTAGCTCAGTGCAGCCTTGACTTCCCAGGCTCAAGCGATCCTCCCACATCACCCTCCTGAGTAGCTAGGACCACAGGCGCGTGCTACCACTCCAGCTCATTTTTATGTTTTGTGGAAACAGAGTCTCACTGTATTGCTCAGGCTGGTCTTGAACTCCTGGCCTCAAGTGATCCTTCTGCCTCGACCTCCCAAAATGCTGGGATTACAGGTGTGTGCCACCACAGTTTGTCTGAATAAATGGATTTTTTAAAAAGAGGATGAAGGAAGGAAAGATGAAGATGACTGAATGCTTCAGAGATTAATGAGAAAAGACTCCTCGAGTGGTAAATAAATGCTTGCTGAGGGTGAGCACGTGAGACTGGGAAGTGGTCACAGAAGGGACAGTCAGGGTGGATGAGGAGGGCGGTGCGTGCCTTCCCGCACCACTGCTTCTCTGCTGGCCCTCAGTTTTCCTGTCCTTCTGACCTGAGAAAATTCTGAGCCACTGTTCTAGTCTCTCCAGGGCAGTGGGGCCCCCCCTGTTACCTGGGGAACCTGAGCCATCTGTGTTCCCCACAGGCAGCGATCAGACCGGGGGCTGAGCCTCCAACAGGGGGACGGGGCAGGGCAGGGGACCTTGAGAACATGCAGGCAGGTGGCCCAGCACCACCTGTACAAGGGAGAGGCACGGGGCAGGCAGCCAGGCCGGCCAGGCAAACGCTCAGGAGTGTGCGGCAACGCATAAAAACCAAAGCAGCCAGAATCCATATTTTTCCATATCGTACGAATAATGGCAGGCCAGGCACAGTGGTCCATGCCTGTGATCCCAGCATTTTGGGAAGCCGAGGTGGGCAGATCACCTGAGGTCAGGAGTTCGAGACCAGCCTGGCCAACATGGTGAAACACTGTCTCTACTAAAAATACAAAAATTAGTCAAGTGTGGCGTTGGGCACCTGTAATCCCAGCTACTCGGGGGGCTGAGGCAGGAGAATCGCTTGAACTGGGGAGACAGAAGTTGCAGTGGGCCAAGATCACGCCACCTCACTCTAGCCTGGGTGACAGAGACAGACTCCATTTCAAAAAGAAGAATGGCAAAAAAAAAAAAAAAAATTCACTCTTTGTGCCTTAAAGTTCCGTGGGTTTTGATAAATGCACAGTGTCCGGTGCCATTGCTGCTGTGTCTAGTGGAATACTTTCACGGCTGGAGAGAAATCCCCTGTGCTCTCCCTCGTCATCCCTCCCTCCCCCTGAACCTCAGCAACCACTGATTCTTTCCCTGACTCCAGTTTTCCTTTTTCCAGAATGACCTGTGGTTGGAAACACACAGTGTGGAGCATTTTCAGATTAGCTTCTTTCACTTAGCGATGTGCATTTACAGTTCCTCCATGTCTTCTCATGGCTAGTTACCTTATCTCTTTTTATCCCTGAATAATATTCCACCGTCTTCATGGAGCACTATTTGTTTATCCACTCACTTATCAAAAGACATCTTGTTGCTTCCAAGCGTCGGCAATTATGAATGAAGCTACGGTAAACGTCCACATTCAGGTTCTTATGTGGACGTCAGTCTTCAACCCCTCTGGTTAAATGCCACAGAGCACAATTGCCAGAGCTGCCGGGAAGCCTCTGTGTAGCTGTGTGAGAAACTTCACACCTGTCTTCCATGGCTGTTGCAGGAAGTCAGGGACCCCGAACGGAGGGACCGGCTGAAGCCATGGCAGAAGAACATAAATTGTGGAGATTTCATGGACATTTATCCCTTCCCCATAATCAATACTCTTGTGATTTCCTATGCCTGTCTTTAATCTCTTAATCCTGTCATCTTCATAAGCTGAGGATGAATGTCACCTGAGGAGCCTGTGATGACTGCGTTAACTGCACAAATTGTAGAGCATGTGTATTTGAATAATACGAAATCTGGCACCTTAAGAACAGGATAACAGTGATGTTCAGGGAACAAGGGAGATAACCTTAAAGTCTGGCTGCCTGTGGGCGAGCAGGATAGAGCCATATTTCTCTTATAACCAAAAACGGGTAAGACAAATATCACTGAATGCTTTCCCCAGCAAGGAATATTAATAATTAACAGCCCTGGGAAAAGAATGCATTCCTAGGGGAGGCCTCTGAAATGGCCACTCCAGGGGTGTCTGCCTTATGCAGACGTAGATAGGGATGAAACACACCTTAGTCTCCTGCAGCTCCCCCAGGCTTGCTAGCATTAGGAAATTCCCACCTGGCGAATTCTAGTCAGGCCAGTTTTCTGCTCTTGAACCTTGTTTATCAATGACAATGTGTTCACAACTGGACATGGAAGTTCATTAGTGATTCGAGTTTCGTCATGACCTTCTGCCTTGTGATCTTTTGTCGCCCTTGCAGCATTTGATCTCTGTGACCCACAACCTATTTGTACACTCCCTCCCTTTTGAAAATCACTAATAAAAACTTGCTGGTTTTATGGCAGGGGGGCATCACGGAACCTGCCAACATGTGATGTCTCCCCCAGACAGCCAGCTTTAAAGTTTCTCTCTTTCGTACTCTTTCCCTTTATTTCTCAGACCAACTGACACTTAGGAAAATAGGAAAGAACCTACGTGAATTATCAGGGGCAAATTTCCCCCAATACACAGCGGCCACACCACTTTGCACCCTCACCAGCAATGACAGGGAGTGCCCATCACTCTGCATCCCAGCCAGAAACTGATATTGTTGATATTGTCAATGTTCTGGATTTCAGCCACTTAAAAAGTGGTGCTGGTGTCTTATAGGTGTCTTCGTTTGCAATTCCCTATTCCCTGAGCCTTGTTCCATCTGCTTACTTGCCAGTGGTGTATCTTTGGTAAGGTGTCTGGTCAGATGCTTTCTTCATTTTTTATGTTCTTATTGAGTTTTGTTTTTTTGTTTTTTGTTTTTTAAAAAAATACAGACAGGGTCTTCCTAAGTTGCCCAGGCTGGTCTCAAACCCTTGGACTCAAGGAATCTGCCTGCCTCAGGCTCCCAAAATGCTGGGATTACACTTTGGGAGCCTGAGGTGGGCAGATTCTTTGAGCCCAAGAGAAACAGGTTGAGCCACCATGCCCAACCTCTTTGTCGATTTTTTTAATCAATTTTTTTAATTTTAGAGATTATGTTTTCAATGTTGTATCTAAAAACTCATCACCAAACCCAGGGTCACATCGATTTTCTCCTGCATTTTCTTCTAGGAGGTTTATAGTTTTGCATTTTGCATTCAGGCCTATGGTCCTTTTTAGTTAGTTTTTGTGAAAGGTATAAGATTTGTGTCTGAGTTAGCTTTTTGTTTTGTTTTGTTTTGTTTTTGTATGTGGATTTTCAATTTTAACACATCATTTTTTACATACAAATTTATTTTTAAAAATAACAACTGCAGCAACATTGATAATCAATCACCCATCCTCCCCCTACTGATAGGGGAAAAAACCTTCTATACAGTTGAGTAACAAAGGAAAATCAAGACCTTTTATCAGACACCCTACAGCCAGAAATGGCGATGCTGTCCCCAGGGGGGCAGACCCGACACATTCAATGTCCCAGGTTAACACACCAGCCCATAGTGTAGACCTGACATGTAACACACCAGCCCAATGGTGTAGACCTGACACATTCAATGTCCCAGGTTAACACACCAGCCCATAGTGTAGACCCAACATGTTTTCA